CCTCATGAATATTCTCCCAGGATGGGATAATTTTGACTGTGTTGGTTTTCAGCTGAATAAATACAGAATTTGTCACCTCCAGTAGCTTCTTCTCAGCCAGAAGGGTTGYACACATCGCTGGGCAGTTAAGGTTGAAGCTGTTTCTAAGACCAGGGAGATTTTTTTTTAATGAGAAATTGTTTCTTACRTAAGATCAAAGTATTACTGGCATTGATGGTGAGAACATTGCTTGGTAAAAAGGTTCTTTGATGATTTGTGGGGAGTWGCAGTATCAAGTAAATTGCAGTTCTCAGCTCCTGACTATGGATCCTGTGAAACCTGCTTTAGTTGGAGGCAGTGTGTACATGTTGTCCTGGTTTTGCTGGTGTTTTAGGGATCGTGAAAAGATCACAACTAACTCCTGGGAAGCTTGGTTTGATCCTTGAGTGCSCAGCTAGTAGCAGAATGTCTGGTGTCACAGCACTTGAGTGGCTGCAGTATGGTCAGGAACAAATGGTTTGAAGGTACATGATTCTCATCACAGGAAAATGGGAGTAAGTTCCTTCATTTGTTGGTTCATCCAATCATTCTACAAACAGTTTATTTTCTGGACACTCCAGAACAGAACAAGAGCAGAGGCAGAGTACAGCTCAGCAGATGAGAATGGCAGAAKACAGTCTCGATCATAGTTTGCAAAGATGGATCTCACCAATAAAACATGAGAGATACTGACCATATGTCCTTTTCTAAGTGGCATTAATGTTTTCCCTCATTCCAGATGCCACTAAAATTTTACCACTTACAATATTTGGTAGAATCCTCTTTAAAACTTTATTTTCCAAATAAATTCTGAAACATTTTTACTGCACGTTGAACTTTTCTTCTGACACATAACTTTTTATTTTCACATTTGGAATTGAATTCTTTTAATGTCAAGGTCACAGTTAGTGCACACAAATGTTATCCTAGCTTTAGGAACCAGCAAACCTCTTAAGAATTAGCGTGCCTTGTAATTAAAATATATATAAAAACAACCTTTCCATTCTGAGCTTGCTAAAACCTTATAGCTGATCTGACACCTTCCTTTGCAAGAATTTTATCAATTCTTGTTTCGTTTTTCATGATACATGCTTAGGCAGCWTGTAAGAGAAGCAATAACTATGGTTGTAACCTGCTTGGGATATTTTTATGATCATAAATGGTGTGGGGGGGGAAAGAATTGCTTAGAAAATGATAGCTGCAACATCAAWATTGCTTATCTATCTGGAAAAGAATATTGTGTGGTCTAAAAGCAGGTATGTGCAGGATTTGCATTAGGATCTACAAGAGACTGAGAATAAAACGGTTTAGCTGAATAGCTAAATAGTTAACTGTTTAACTGAATATCTTCTTGCAAATTTTTATACTCATTAAGTTTTCTCTTGAAGTGTCAAGTTTTCTTTTTGAAGAATGCTCTGAAACATATTGTGAAAGGGTGTTTTTAAGGTTGCTTAAAGAATCATTGGCAAAGTAATTCAGCAAAAACAGGTTTAATATAAAAGCAACAGCACAGGAAAGTTTGTTTGCAAACTTCACTCTACTGCCTACTACATGGTTAAAACAGATGGAGAAAAAGCAAACAAAAATCCCAAATCAATCAATCCAAGCAAAAACAAACCCAAGAATATCTACATGGAGTCTGGCAGGAGGGGGAAGAAGAGAATAGGAAAAGACAAGGAAAAAAAGGAATGTCCTCCTGTTGAGCTACAAGGTTCAGAGTAGACCTGAAGCTAAACTTGAGCCTGGACTTTACCCAGAGTTTATCCCTAAAGGCCCAACAGTGCTTACACTTAACAAAACTTAACARCACTTAACAATGCTGTAACTTAATAGTACTTAATTGATAATGGAAACTAAACAATGTAGCAACACATTCATATAGAATTTACTATATAACTACTTGCTTACAAGCCTGACTTACTACTAATTAAAATACTTAAGGGTAGGAGTACTACATTTGCTACCTCATATTCACACTCACATGTGTTATGACCCACTGCAGAAGGTGAGGGTAACCCAGGTCCTTGCTAATAGATCCCTTGGGGTGGATTAGAGTGAAATGATACTGAATGTTTGTAAATATACACATGTAGGATTTATTGTAGAACCATTTGGTTGCAAACAGGTGTGTAGCCATTTTGGTTATTATCTACAGTAATATAACATGAAACATTGCAATATGAAAGCACAACCAACTCATACAAGAACCACCTCACCAAAAGAAGGAAAAAAAGAGAAGAAGAGTGTGAAGATCTCACCACCCACAGGCCCCATGACAAGAACTTGGTTGTTCTGCAGTCTTGGAAGAAGTGGTGATCGCAGGTTGGATCCTTTGGGTGGGGTGGGGAAGAAGTGGTGGGGAAAAAGGCCTGGGATAATCTGCAGAACAAATCTATTTGATTTATATTTACTCAGGTTCAGATGGSAATGCCCAGACACCTCCCCCAGGGCAGGGAGCATCACAATGGATGCTGTAATGTTGTGGATCATGGGACACTTCAGGAGTCCTTGACATCATCTAAGGCAACACTGCTGCCCATCACACCAGCAGCTGAATCAATTATGGTTTATCAGCAGAGATCAATACCCTCAGGCCACACATGAATGTTCTGGTATTTCTGGGGAGGAGAGGGAGCCCCACTAAGTGAGCCCTACAACCTGGTGGTTTGTGCAAGGGAGAGCACCTTAGCGTGACAGGAGGCACCATCCCATCTCCACAGAACCTATCTCACTGAGAGCCCATCATTCACCCTCAGTCTTACCAGATCAGAGGATAGCCGTTGCACATCCAAAGGCTCACACCCTCCACCTCCAAACCAGGCTTCAACAAAGCACCCTGGCTCTCCACAAATGGGGASTGTTTTGAGTCATTATCTCTTAAAACTTTAGTCTCTCAATTTGCACACAAACGTGATGAGTGGAGTAGGTATATGCCTGTGAAAAATTCTCGAGTTCAGGGAAGCACTCACTTTGAAAGCCTTTCCATTTCCCAGTGGGGGTGAAGGGTTGAGGAAGCTGTGAGGAATTGGTGTATCAGCCCAGGGCTGTCATTGTTCAGCAATCCTCTGAGTACAGCAAACTTGAGAGTTCACTGGCYCTGAGAGGGAGATRTTGGTCACAGCCCACTGCAGGACAGGAGAACTCAGAAARTCTCACTTTGGGCTGCTGTTTATAGAGTTGCAAGAGAGCGGGCTTTAGTCATAGTAATTTTCCATCCTAGCCATAATTCAGGTCGGTAACTTTTCTTTGAAAGTTTGATAACAAAAATATTATTTCACTTAGGTTGTTATTCAGGCAAGAAAAATAAGCTTCCAAGGCTGTTCATTAAAACATAGGAGTTTGTTAGACATCACCAGTTCCTGGGAGAAGAGTGTTTCTGGTAAGCTCAAGAGGAGCTCAGCCAGCTGATGTTTGTCAAGGCAGAGGCCTAATGAGCATTTCTGAGATCACAGTGTGGCTGGGGAGGGGGGATGTGCCACCACAGTGGCCTAATACAAGTTGATAAAAGAGTTGCAGTATGTCAAGCTTGGATCTTTGAATTTGCTGTTACAGCTTCCAGGATTGTCTTCCATAACCCCATCCCTTAATCCAGAGGAAATTGCAACCACCTCATTCCTGGATGACATGGTAAGAAGCTTCCATCTGCCCACATCCACACAGTGAGTGTCCAGAGAGCACAGCTCCAGGCCCTCAGATCACCCACTGTCCACCTGCAGGGGGGCAGGGAGAGAAGGAACCACAGATGCCATACATGGACAGAACCAGGCTGCCCATTCTCTGCAAATATCATTAAGATTTCCATCGGAAAATAAATCATGGTTTCTGACAAATGAGCATCCCAATCCTTCAGTAAACTTCCATGTGAGAAGCCTTGTGTAGATTTACATAACCTACACAACCAAGGGTAGTTCATGTGATTTTTTGCCTCAACTCACTTGTCACAAGTTACCACTGACAGATCAGAAGTGGGCCCAAAAATAGCAGATTGATGTTCTGGATAAACCCTTCAGCAGTTACTGAAGTGCCAGCAGGGTGCCAGGGCCAGCCTGGCTATCAGAGCTGGCAGTCAGCCMCAGCACGTTGGAGCAGCCCATGGCCTGCAGCAAGCAGGCAAACTTTGCCACTGAYAGTGACGAGCTAAAGTGACTTTTGAAATCAGCATTTAATTATATGAGGCTCTTCACACACACCAAAAAGATTATTCAAAATGAAGAAATTTGCTGGCTTTTAAGTACTTTCCAACAGACAATAATCTGCAGGAATCTTCTCTCTTCTTTAAAAATCACATTATTTAAAACTGCACATTGAAAACTCTGACATGTGATTTCCCACACCAAAAAAGGACTGAACTGGCAACCTGCAGGACTTGTTCCAGTTGTGGAGTCAGCAAAAGCAGGCTCATAATTATAGATCCTGGGTGTTGTTATTGCTGCTGAATGCATTTAGATGCTTAGCCATTCTTGTTGAAGTCAAAGATRGTATTAGAGCGTTTTAATTTATTAGAGTCCTCAACTCAAATAGCCAAGGGAGCTTCTTACACATAGAAATATACTGAAAATGGACAGATATGGACTTAAAAAAAAATCGTATTTCAGAAAAAAATCAAGCATTATTATATAAATTCAGAGTAAGGTCCTGTCACATTTACCAGGGAGCTTGTAACTTGTAAGTTCAGCATCAGCATCACTTAGGAATTTTTCAAGTCCATTTTTCAGCTAGTTTGTGCACGGAACTTATACTGCACATTGTTTTTCAGCCTCACCAGTGGATAATAGTATATGTAACCAAGTAGTAACAACAGTGGTTTAATCTTCAAAAGTCCATTTGTTCCACTACAGATGCACTATTAAAACAACAGATGTATTTAATAAAGTAATTACAGAATGTCATATTACAACTTTTCCCATTTCACTGTGACAATTGTGTAGTTAAAAAAAAAAAAAAATTATACAGCTAGAAAACCTGTACAAATGAGTGAGGAAAAACAATCACTAGATTTGTTCAAAATGAAAAATCCTGATGTTTCATTTAAATGAACTGTTCTGCTGTTGAAGACAGACCTCCTTATATTTGTAAGATAGTTATTTTGTAAAAATATACTTCCTTACTCTACAGATAAGGTAAGTAATGGTTAAGAGGGCAGTTTTAGAGTAAGTACTAGAAAAATATTCTTTACTATGACAGTRGAGAGGCACTGGAACAGGTTGCCAAGAGAAGCTGTGGATGCCTTACTAAATCTGGAACTGTTCGAGGTTGGATGGGGCTTTGAGTAACCAGGATGAGAGGAAACAGCCTCAAGCTGCACCAGGGAAGGTTCAGGTTGGACATCGGGAAGAATTTCTTCACTGAAATAATTGTCAGGCATTGGAACAGRCTGCACAGAGAGGTGATGGAGTCCCCATGCCTGGAGGAATTCAAGGAATGACTGAATCTGATGCTCAGTGCTATGGTCAAGTTGCCATTGTGGTGTTTGGTCAAAGGCTGGGGTCGATCGTCTTGGAGATCTTTCCAACTTAAATAATTCTGTGATCTAGAGAAAGATGTCCATGCCCAAAGCAGAGGCATTGGGATTATGGGATCTTTAAGGTCCCTTCCAGCCCAAACCATTGAAAGATTTTATGATCATGCAACAAAAAGCCACCCCAAATACAGCATCCAGGATTAGTTAGTTGTTAGTGTTGGAAAGTTTTACACATTTCATGGCAAACATCGTCCCGAGTTGTTGAACTGGTGCAAGGGGAATCAATGCTTCTCTTCAGCAGAGACCTCCCCACCCACCAAAACAGAACAGTGATGTAAAAAATCAAAGTTTGCCATCTGAAGAGAAACCAGTCACTGAAGGAAAAGGACAATCCTCCTGAGCAAAAAACCTCTTAGTTTTAACCCTCACTCCCAGCTTTACTGGAGGAGCACCTTCCTCATTTTTACTGTGTTCTGTGTATTAACTGTGCTGTCATTTGGGTTTGATTTATTATTCTAACAGCTCAGCCTATAGTTTAAGTTTCATAGAGACAGAAGAATAGTATCTAATACTGAAGTCCTGTATTCTGGAACTGGAAGGTGGTAGGACATACATAAAAAGTCAAGATTACTTTCTGACACAAGCTTGCACTTGGTGTTTTCCCCCAATTTTTACCTGCCCCACCTGATCTTTATTGTAGAACATAGGACATTTAATTTCACTACATCTTTCTAAAATAGCTGTAGAGTTGCCAGAACATTTAGGGGTTAAGTAGCTTTGTTGTTCTCACTTGTGAGTAGATGTACAGCTGGTCAATACTGTGATCAGGAAAACAAGGCCTTGATATTCAATTTAAAACTAAACCAGCCAACCCACCTCCCCCACCCATCCCACCCCTACAGAAACCTCTGGTGCACATGTTTTGATACTGGGATGAAGTGAGCCCAAGCATGGCATTTGTACAGTGACAGTTCCCTCCCTTAGAAAATCCAGTGTCCAAATTCCACAGCTTTGTTTTATGGATACGAAAGATGGATGAACACAGACACAGTCCTAAAGTATTTTATGCATTTTTAAAAGCTGAGCCACAAAGATGYCACAATACTCCTTTAAAGCTCTATGGTATGTAAACTCTAGAGACTGGAAGGGACCAATTTAAGTTATTGATCATAACATTTCTTCTGATAACTGCTACAATGCTGTGGCRTCAGAAGATCCAGATCTGTTATCTGACAGCACCATGTAAAAAATGTTTGTAATTACCCAGTGAATTCCAGCAAAGGCAACCCAACATGTTTCATTAGACTATTTCATATTTTTGTAAGCTTATTTTATTTCTTTGCTGTACAAACGCAGAAATGCAAACAATTTCAATAAATCTACATCAGTAACTACTTAGAAATRATACAACTATGTACACAAAGCCCAACTATTTCACTTCAGTGTTGACACCATAGTTCATGTAGAGCTGGATGCAAACAGCACTACACAGAGTAAGGCATAACTCTCAGGATATTTACATCTTGTTCTTTATGGCAAAGGCTTCCGATACACCAGTTCTTYGTTACACTCGCATTGGGCAATCCTGCTTAGTAGTGCAACCTCAGAACTGAAAAGTGCATTTCTTCATTTTATACATTCTCACACGTATTGTGGACCATCCCAGAAACAGTCTTCCAACCTTCCTTTTTGGAAGTAATTAATTATCTTTGTTTTCTGTCAATTAAAACTTAAGGTAAAAATACCATTTCCCCAAAGTTAACATGCAATTAAGAAAACAAAGCTCCTAAAAGCAACTCCATAAACTGTTGTCTTCTGAATTGGGAACATAAGCAATCCTGTGAAAGCACTCAACCAATTTTTCTAAAACACTTTGGAACATTTCGGGTCACRAAGTCTGCAGATCCAAGCAGCTTTGAAAAAACCCTATAACACAGACATTTACATTCTGTATTAGATTTCTGTGTTGTAATTAATCTGGCATCTCAAATAGGTTTTTTTCTTCCATCGGAGATCTCACTTTGAAAGTAAAGTAAAAAAGAAATATGATTACTGCCATATTTTTTACAGTACTGTGATACGGTAGAAAATACAATTCTGAGCTAACTCACAAGCAAAATAAAGTAAAAAGATGCCTAGGGTGAAAAAGTCAACTCTTCCCCTCAACTATAAAGCAGCACTGCTAAAAATAAATTCTCCTTTGTGTTCTGAGCTACTGCAATTCCTGCCACATTTATTTTTAAGCCACAACATCCTGCAGCACTAGGGTTCTTCAGAATCTATATTCCATCCACTCTTGTTTTAGGACATTAAGATATTACATCCCCTTTTCTGTCTGCCCTTCCTTAGGGAAGGAATGAATAGGAGCACAGTCTCTTTTGAAACAGCATCCTAACTCTCATGGCAACTCTCAGCTAAGCTGGCCTCTGTGGTGCAGCAGCTGAGAACTGACAGACCACCTCCATCCACAGGAAAACAGCAAAGAGTGAAGGAAGGAAAAGGTCAGGGAACAAGAGTGCCTTGCTGTGTGTGCACGTGCCTGACTCTCTGACCTCCTGCTGCTGTGAGGTAACAACAGCAGAGACTTCCAGGCATTTCCTATACTCCCACACCACTTGGCCACAAACTATGCACAGAAAATTATACTCATTTAACAGTACAGCTTGCAGCTTTATCAGAATGGTATGATAATCTTAAAAAAATTACTACAAGTGGATAAAAATGTAAAAGGAGGACATTACCTTCATCAAGACAAATTGATGGCTCAGTTTCATAAGTCACAGYATCCATATCTTCACAAGTTTTGGCACCTGGTGTCTCTTTTTCCACCTCACATAGATAGACATCAATGGGTCCTTTTGTGCTCTTCACATGTACTTGTATGCGATCCTAYGAAACAGCAACTTGTGTATAATCCAAAGAACAAATCTTACACATCCTTTATCTATTTTTGCAGGTATGTTAAAGACAATAGATTAAGAACAGAATGAATACAGGAGGGCCATAACTATTTAAAATTGYGACTACTTCCACATAAATTATGACTATTACATACATTTGTAGGACAATTATGATGCAGAATTAAGCTACAGGGTTTTCATTTTTGATGAACATGCACTTAAATATTTGATTAGTCTTTCTACTGACCTTTAGACATATGACCAAGAGTTACTATATGTTTAGGAAGGGTAACAAAATTTAAAAACTTGACATAGTAGTGTCATGGATCAAAAAAAAATCTGGAGCACACAGCTTTAATAACATAGTAAAGCAACTAATCCCTATCGCTTCTACTGCTTTCCTTCAGCAGCCATCATACTGTAAGACAAGTGTGATGTCTTAAAGATTTACTTGCTGTGTTTATATAGCAAATAAATCTTAATGGACATATGGAAAGAACACTCTGTTCTCTCTAATGTACAACTTTTTAAATCCTGCCTTCTTATTGCTTCAAGAGGCCTTTGGAATTTTGATCTTTTTGATCATCTCCATCAGATGAGAGACAACTTCTTTGACCAGGGAAACTACTGGAGTTGTTATTCAGTGCATCTAAGTCTTCTGGTTGTACTGATTCATCTCCTTTTCCCAAGATATCACCACCTTTCTGTGCACACAGCTTCAATGCAACTTTAATGACTATACAATTAAAAATGCTCATACAGAAAAGAAAGCAGAATTAAAATTTCATTTGTTATCTGAAGTTGACTTCTAGGATTTCCCCTCTCAGGACACTACAGTGGACTCCCAGYAGACAGGCTCCAGTACACAGGTGCAGCACTGCTGGGTGCAGGGGGCTAAGGTCTGGCTCCTGTGTGAGACCAGAATGGAGTCCTGTGCATTGCACCGTGGGGTGAAGACAGGGCACAGCCCCCACCTCCATGAGAAATCCCTCTAGATACAATCTACCAGAGTGACAGAATGTTTTCCTTTTCCCAACCATACTGTACAATGCATACTTTATTACAGCCATTCCATCCTCTTTAACAAAACCAGGTAACTAAAGCTTAAATACATGTAATAATTTAGATTAAAAAGGAAAATACTGCAAGTAAGTGTCTAAGACTTGTTTAGTGGAACACAAGAACAATGAACTGCACGACAAAGAAACGAGAAGTCAATTCTGACTGCTGGGCAAAACGTCGAATTTGAGAACTTTTGTTTATTTATGAGAAGTGTGTAAAACTTACGTCTTTAGGAACTGGTATTTCCAATTTGGTTTCCTCTGGAGCTCTGATTGCAATCACAATCTGTTCCTGAAATGCCTCAATGCTTCGGATATCTTGGTAAGTCACATAAGCTAGTGTATACATTGGTCAAGGATTCTGTAAAGCAATTTTCTAATGGGTAGAAGCAAAGAGTGTGATGTCAAGATATGTTGAGGCAGAATACCAACTTAGGAAAACTGATCAAGAACTCAGCTGAGGTTAATAGCAGCTTTGTAAAATGAAGTGCCAGCTACCAAGCAGAAAAATGGTTTTCTGTATTTTTAGGAAAGGGAAAGAAAGCTTTAAAAAATATATTCAATGTTAAATAAAACCTGAACGGTTTTTACAGATGCTGTCGCAAGTCTACAAAGCAGAGGGAATAGTGTCTTTYACAAACTTCTTTCTATTTTGTCATAGCATGAAAATTATTTCCTGGGACACTATAAAGCCATATTCTTAACCAGTAAGTGTAAAGAAAATGGGCATGTTTCACTTGAGCACCCACCTTAATATTCTCCCAACAAGGTAACTAATAATACTTTATTGTAACCCAAAGCAAAATTCAAAATTTATGCCATATATTAAAATAAGTATATTTTCTATTGTCAAAGCCCATCTGAAAGTCAAAACTGCACTGGAACCTCTTTCAAGAGGCAAAACAGTATTAGGACACAACCAACACATCATTATATGTTCTTGGCAACAGGGCACCAAGACTCCATTTTGAGTCTAAGCAACTTGATCTCACCAGTAGATCAAGACCAGCCCCTGAGACAACTCTTTAGTGGAGAGAACAAGGTGATGGTCAGGGTACTAAGACTATTGCCCCACTTCCATTCTTTGACAGTGGAAAGGTCACATAAGCAGCACTCCCCTGACAACAGGCCAGACTGTCCATGACACTGCAAAGCAAGACACACGACTGGCATTCTCAAATGCAAAATAATCAAAAGTTTGCTATTATAAAGCTCATTATCAAGCCTTATTGCACACCTGTAGTATCAGCCTATACTTATTGCTAGATATGTGAGGTACCTGCAACCAAAACCATGTGTTAAAGTAATACAAGATTTGAAAGGATATTTTGCATTTTCTTTGTCATCTGTTAGTTCAAATATCTGATGAGCACAGTCCTTGATTAATTCATCCAGAGCTTCTTCCATGGCTGCTAAGTCAGAAAGTTCATCTTTAAGGTTTTGCTGCTCTGATGCTTTTCCAACAACTTGGTCAAGATTATTACCTCTAAAAGGATACAAAAGTTGTCTAGTATGTTTATATAAATAAAAGCCTGTTTATTAAACATCAAGTATACGAAAGAAAACAGTAATGAACTCAGGCATCCTTTACTCTCTTGAAATATACTTTTGCAATTGCTACTTGCTAACATATTAAGTAATTCATACAGTCTAATGATACAGAGGAACTTAAAATACCATACGAGATGCATTTTAATATGCTTAAAAATACTCTCAAAATTATAAAATTATTAAAGATTATTAGAATTTACTGCTTCAGAAACCGTAAGTTTCAAACCGGACTCACATCCACTGGATAAGATTCTTAGATCTTTTCTGAATCAAATGGATTCCATCCAACACATTGGTGATGTCATATACCCTTCGTTTTCGCACTCCAAGTGTTGTTGCTACTTCATTTAAATCAAGGACACCGTCTGGAGCTTTTTTGAGAAGAGCCATAAATCTTCGTGTCAAAAGCACCAAAGATGCATCAAATCGAGGCTTCCTGACTGCCGCAGTTTCTGTGAAGTTTTGATAGAGTATTTAGAGTAAGCTACTATTTAGCATGAAGTATTCCTTAAAAAAGTGATAACGATKAAGTAACAATGAGGACAGAAGTCTGGAAGCACTGCAGTTTTTAATGCTGACATTGCAATAGCATCATAAAAAGCCTATTAACTACACATAYCTTCATTTATTTGTAATGATTTTATCTAAATAGCAAGCATGCATCTTTACGCTTTCAACATTCATGACTTCACACTGCTAGTATGGATATAATTAATAGTTGAGTAACTGTATGTTCTGTAGGACAAGAGATCAGATCACTGAACAAATACCAATAAAACCTTTCATTAACTATAGCTAATGCTGGGGCRCTGCCAGAGTAAAGGAGCTCTATTCTCTGCTCTGTGACACTGTTAAAATATCTTTTCACATCCTTTTGGTCGAGTTTAACCAGCAGACCTCCCATTTAACAGTCAGGCATGGTTCAGGAGTCAGCTTGRCAYCAGGACTGTTTCAGCCCGACACAAYCCATCTRCTCTGGAGCKGAAGAACTTAGTATGTGAATGAACTCTGTTTGCACTATTTGCTCTCTGGGCAAAACAACTGGTCAGTCCATTCTTTCATTTACTAATGCAACAAACATCTACAGATACCCTGACATTCTGTTTTAAGAGAGATCCTTATGAGGAACATATTGCTTCACATCTGTTATTTCATTCAGTGTTCAGCATTTCTCCTGCTCTGCTGATATGAGATACATTACAATTTTTCATTTGTCTACAGCATGTACTCATATTGTAGAAAGGCATGAAATATCGCAAAATTAATTTTCACAAGTGAAACACTTGTGAAACAACTTACTTGTGAAGCAACTTACTTTTCACAAGCCGTGCATCATTGTGCGTGTTCACRTTGATCACTGGTGCCTGGGGAAATAAAAAAGGAAAAAACAACTGTTGTAACATGCTATCTACAGGGGGAACTTCTTCAGAAGTAAACCTCAAATCTACTTTAGATGTTACAGCCACCACAGTTCTAACAATTCAGCAGGTATTACTGTGAAGAAATGTCACTAGACAGAAGAAATATGTGCTCTTTAATTCCTGTCAGAATTTTTAGCCACTAATCTCACATCTCACTGTTTTCAAAAGTAGGAAACACCACTCATGATACTGACTTGCTGATTGTAAGGCAAGCTGTAATTTCTTTTGCCTCTTTTGTTTCAATTTATGGCTATTTCCTTTCAGTCTCCCATCATTTATGACTGCAAAGTGTCTGACCAGCTTTTAAAGTTCTTAACTGCCTTGCAAGTACACCATGAAGCTGTGTCAGAGGAAGTTTGGGTTACCCATTTGGAAAAGGTTCCTTCCCCAGAGGGTGGCTGGGCACTGGAACAGGTTCCCCAAGGAAGTGGTCACAGCAGCAAGCTTGCCAGAGTTCAAGAAACTCTTGGACAATGGTCTCAGGAACACGATGTGACTCTTGGGATTTTCCTGTGCTGGGAAAAGAGTTGGATTTGATCATCATGATAGATCCCTTCCAACTCAGCATGTCCTAAGATTCTACAGAAGGGCTGCTGTGGCTTAACACCTCAGGAGTTTATAACAGCCTTCCTGTACTAGTGGGCCTAAATCAAGCCCAGCATTCCAAGTTGCCAAGTAAGGAAGAAAAATCACTTCTGTCAATTTACTGTTTATTCTCCTGCTAAGACAGTCTCATATGCCTCAATGTCAGGGTATGGGGCAGGGGCATCTTTAGCCCACTATCCATTACCCCAGATTCTTTCAACAGCATGGTCCCCCAGCCTGTACTACTGCAGGGTAAAAGCCCAGGTAGGCCTTGACACTTATTTTCAACTTCTGGGTTGAAGTTTATGAGGTGTTAGATGACCCCCCTCTTCCTCCAACACATAAACATCATGAGGGGGCATCTCACATCCTCCACCTATGAACAAGACAAGCCCCAGAATAGACCCCTGAGGAAAGTAATTTGTAATGTTTCTGAGTGATGTATGAACTACTAACCACTACTCTGATCCTGAAGGTCCAGTCAAGTATTTTCTGCTCATGTGGTAGGTTACCATCTGTAATATCCCARCTTCAAGGTAAGACTGTCATTAAGTCCTGCTACAGCTACTGTAGTTGACATCCAASGCTTTGATCTACAAATCTAATCATTTCACCATCATGGGTAATCAGTTTGCAGGTATAGTTATACAAGTTATTCAATCACCTTCTCCTCTGTGGGCCTAGAAATAGCTTCCCAGAGAACTTGCTTCATGGCTTTCAAAGGSACTGAAGTGAGACTGATTTAAGCTGCAGCTGACTTCTACTTTTGACCTCTCAAAACTCGCACGAGCAACCTCACAATGACATYAGCCAGTTCTCTCAGGATGTATCCCAAGAGGATCTTACCAATTTGTTTGGGTTGAGCTTTCTCAAGATTCCTAACTTGCCACTTTTCTGTTGCTGGTCATTCTATAAGACACAAAGCCCAAGAAACATCAGTTCTGAAGTGCCTAGCAAGGTGGTTGAGTATGGCACCCTTACCTATGTTAACTCTTCCTAAATCACCRGCCCCATTTAGCAGCAGGTTCACCATCCCCACCACTCCCCCTTTACTGCTAATGTAACTCTCAAGGAATACATTCAGTGCAGTAGCTCAGGGTGTAGCTGCTGTGTGAGCTGGATGCTGTACTCTGGAGGGTGAGAGTCCCAGGCAAGAGGCTGTGAACTGCAGGCACAGGAACCTGTGGTCCCAGCCAGGGGACAGGACACTCAGAAACATAGCAGGAGCTGAGGATCTCTACACTGGGGGGATCCTCTGATGGAACGCTTAGACTTTGAGGGTAGGCAGTGGTTGATCCTGCCAAGCACCCACCAAMACTGCTCTATCATTCCACAAATGGTCAGGGGAGAGAAGACATCACAAAAAGTTTGCAAGTTGATAGAAAGACTGGGAGGGATCACTCACTGAATACCATCATGGGCAAAACATTCAACTCGGGAAKATGAACTGAATTKATTACAAATAAAAYCAGAGCAGGACAATGARAAATAAAATACATCTTAWAAAAACACSTTCCCCCACCCCTCCCTCCTTCCCAAGCTCTACYTCCTCCACACCAGCAATGCAGGGAGATAGGAATGGGGTTCATCAAATGTTGTTCCTGCTGCTGCTCAGGGAGAAGAGTCCTCTGCTTCAGTGTAGGGWTCTCTCCCATGGGCAACAGCCTTCCATGAACTTCTCCAATATGAATCCATCCCACAGCAACAGTTCACCAACTGCTTCAATGTGGATCACTTCTTCCCCAGCATGCAGTCCTTCAGGCACAGCCTGCTCCAGCATGGGTTAGGGGTCACAAGTCCTACCAGAAAACCTGCTCCAGCACAGGCTCCACTCTCCATGGGTCTGCAGGTCRCTACTAGGAGCCTGCTCCATCATGAGCTTCCCACAAATTCACAGCCTCCTTTCAGGCATCCACCTGCTCCAGCCTGGGTCTTCTCCATGGGTTGCAGGTGGATCTCTGCATCACTGTGGTCCTCCATGTGCTGCAGGGGTGCAGCTCCTTCACCATGGTCTGCACCATGGGCTGCAGGGAGTCTCTGYTCCTGCACCTGRARCACTTCCTCTGCCTCTTTYTCCACTCACCTTRGTGYCTGCAGAATTGTTCCTCTCATATATTCTCACTCCACTCCTGCTTGGTTGCATTTACAATTATGCAATAACTTTTTTTACCTKCTTAAATATRTTACYACAAAGGCACTACTACCATCTTTGATTAATTCCACATTGGCCAGYGATGGATCCATCCTTGAGCGGCCTGGCATTGGCTCTGTGGGACATGGGGGAACTTCTTAGAGAAGCCACCCTATAACCCCCCACCTGGTATTCAAACTTGACCACAAGAACCCAATACAGGGCATACAAGCCCAACACTTCCTTTATTTGGGTCCCTGTTTGAGCTGTTGTACCAAGATTAAGTTATTTTAAGGATCCAAATGTCTGAGACTGCTAYAGAAACCTGGGGTCAATCTGATGAGGGGACCTTGCCTGATTCTTTTGAGTGTGGGAGTRCAGTTGCAAAGGAACTTTGGTACTAGCTCAGGTGGTACGAGAGTGACTGACAAGAGAGGCTCCTGCCACTCTTGRTCAGACAGGGAAATTTTTTTAACATTGTGACCCTCAACATTCCTGACGAGTTTCAACAACTTTGGTTCTCCAAGCATCATATCTGTATGTCCAGACAGTTTTAYCCTTGTTCTTTAGTCTGTCCTTTTAGGCATATGTGCTTTTTGCCATGAGTGTCATGATGAAATGTGTTTCTGTTTACTCACCTCCATCTCTTCAGCTCCTCCAGTTTTCAAAGTTGCCTTCCCTAAAACCTCAACTACCTCTTGCCAGAATAAGCTGGAGTCTTGAAGACTGAATAAACTGGAGTCCAAGCYTTCCTTACCATACTCAGGGTTTTGAGTATTCCATTGTTGAGAAAACTTCCCAGTCTGACCATTCAAGAGACTCTCTGGCAGTCATACTCCCAATGACAGAGGCTTTCACTGCTGGGACTGAAGCTCTTTCACAATGGGTGGCCGCAGTGACCCGATGGGAGGCCCACTTGAATCACTATACACTACACTCACACAATCAGATGTCTTCTTACTGGTTCAACCCCACATTTTCCATTGCAGAATCTCAGATGTCTCTCCATAAAGTAATTTATTCATGGTGCAGCAACACAGAAACAGYCCAAGCTGGTAGCTCTGAAGAGGGACCCACAATAAAAGAACCTCTGGATTTTTACACCCTCACAGTCTGCCCAGGTAAATATTGCTCTGCTCCTGCTGTGTCTCCCCATGTGCCTCTTTTAATCCACCCAGCCAGTGTCACCATCCTTATGCCCTTTTGTTATCTAAATGTTTGGCAGGTCATGGTTTCTGCTATGTCCCTCAGTATCCACTCAAGTGGTCAGTGCCAGCCATCTTCACCTCCTTTGTCATTCCAAGAGYTGGGCAGTTCACAGCCTCTTGTCTCCGGCTCCCACCCTTGGCTCCACTCATCTGCTGCYTGCACCAGATGTACTCCTCGACATCCACTATCCCACAGCCGTCACACTTGTGAATGAATACCACATCTTTGRCTTCCCTGTTTGTAAGAAGCTGATTCAGGAAAGTATCACCCACGGTAAGCTCATCTAAACACGTACAAAAAGTAGCTGTGCCAAACACCCTTTGCTTCTCACAATCGYCACTTCAATTACCCACCTAAAAACCTATGGGTACTCCTTCACAGGTTTAAGAAAATGCTACCAAGCGACATTTAACCCAACTATCAAGATTAATTAAAAAAAACAGTAATACATTTTGAGAAGTTTCATAAATCTAAAAGTATGCACCATCAGGATTAACTAAAAAAGGAACATTCTAAAAAGCTTTACAAAACAGGCTTTTTTGTTAGCTATCTCATAGGATTGCTAGAAAGTAGTGGTGGCAGCTATATGGAAGATGAATACCTCAACATCACAGCCGTTTACAGGAGAAAACACAGTTGAAGGCTCTTTTTCTCGTAGTTAACTACCACATACGTAGCTCGATTAAGAGGCTACGGGCAGCACAGGCAAGAAAATACAYCCCTTTGCATTGTAGCACTTTCCCGGGAGGCCCTCTCCAACGCGACGAGGAAAGGAATCATCCCAAGGCTCCTTTCGAGTACCACGCTGCCAGGCCCGCCGCACCTTTCCCGCCCAGGGATGTAGGACGGGCTTTCGGCCGCCCTCACAAGCTCCGAGGCAGCAGCGCAGCTGCAGCGCCGTCCCGCCCTCTCCCATCCACAGCGCCTCCCGCTATGTACCTCACTCACAGGCAGCGTGTCCGGCTGCAGCGGTCGCAGGCGCTCCCACTTGTCGGGGCTGGCCATGTCCGCCCGGCCCCTCCTCCTTGCCCCGGCCGGCCCGGAGGCGAGGCGCTGGAGGAGGGGAGGGCGCGCAGACGCCCTCACGCCGAAGCTCCGAGCCCCCGGCAGGCGCGGGGCGCCGCGGAACCGCTGCCGCCCTCGCCACAGCCCGTCATGGCCGCCGCTCCCGCGCGCGCCTGAAGCTGCCGCTGGGGCGGGAACGGGCGGGACCCGCGCACGCGCCTTCCCCTCAGCCGCCGGAGCGCGCGCGGCGCCGCGAGCTGCTCCCTCCGCACCCATCGGCCCCCGCGCGCTCCCGCTTTCCCGCCCTGCCCGGCTGTGCCCGGCGCTGCGCACCGCGCCCGGAGCGTCCCCTGCGGCACTGGACTGAGCGCCGCCAGGAATGTGCMCAATCCATTCCATTCCTCATTTCCCCCCTCATCAGCCTGCCAGACCGGCGGAGGAAAGGCTCTGCTCGCCCCAGTCCTCGCCTTTGCCGAGCGGGAGCGCACTGAGCACTGCAGCGGCCAGCGTGGTTTAAGTGGGGGAATCACAGAATATGCTGCGTTGGAAAGGATCGTCGAGTCCAACTCCTGGCTTCGCACCGGACACCTCATAAATCACACCATGTGCCCGAGAGCGCTGTCCAAATGCTTTTTGAACTCTGTCAGGGTGGTGCTGTCACCACTTCTCCGGGGAGCCTGTTCCAGTGAGCAACCACCCACTGGGTGAAGAACCATKTTCTAATATCCAGCCTAAACTTCCCCGGCACAGCTTCAGGCCATTCCCGTGTCCTGTCCCTGGTCAMCACAGAGATCACTGCCTGCCCCTCCACTTCCCCTCACRAGGAAGCTGTAATGGCAATGATCCTTCCCCTCAGTSTCCTCCAGGCTGGACAGACCAGGTCCCTCAGCGGCTCCTCATGTYTGCCCCTCAAGAAGGAGAGGTTCTGGTTACTGCAGGGAGGGAGATTTTCCTCCAGGTAATARCAACATGAGCAAGGGGAGCATCCTGTCTGAGCACTGCCATGCAAGTAGGTGGGAGACTAATTAGTATTTATTTCCTGCCAAATTGCTTGCTTTTGTCATTACTTGATAGTATGAAGCAGCCAAAGCTGTGTGTGTTGCTCACTGGRGAGACCCAGAAAAAATGTCCATGTGGAGAATAAGTTAATTACAAGAGGTTTGTTAGTGAAGGGAAAGGTGTATTCCTCTAGGGCCAGCAAATTATGGCGTGTCCAAATTAAACCTCATAATTTACTTCTCAGCAACATCCTTCCCCAAATCCCATCTCCATTGCTCCTGCCCTTTTCTCCACACTTGTAATAACTTTTTACAAGCACTGACTGATGCCTTGCTCATTTCCCAGCCTCAGCAGTAGTCTCAAAATTTCCAATTGCATAGAGAACTTCTGCTTGTCAGACAAAAACATTTCTTTAAAACACAGTTCCTTGTTAGATAGCCCATCTGTTGCTTGATTGCTCTTTATGGCAATTACAATTATCTCTTCTACAACAGTCTGTCATGGAGTTCTTTTGCTTAAAGAGTTATGGACTATTTTGCTTCTCCCACCTACACTTCAGGCRAAATTTCCCATCACTTCCTAATTTCATCGGACGTGTAAAACTGCCAGTCTGGTATGAGGAGTTCAAAGCCATGAAAAAATTCATATTCTAATATGACAGACCAAACATGTCAACCAACACTCTATTACCTTGAAAAAATACTGAATTCATTTTCATTGACTGTGCTTCACAGCCCTTCCAGTTAGACATTCCTTTAGAGTATCTTATGGTATCACCAATGATACATCAGATGCCTTGAGGGAGGATGGAGCTTTCTTCATAGCAGCCAATTTTCAGTCAAGTACTTGCATGATAATAACTTTCCTTATAGAGAAGTGTAGAACTAAGGTGAGTTGTTCTTGTGCTCTAATGAATTAACACAAATAAAAGAGGGGAAAATATGTTCCAGCTCCTCAGAGGCCAGATGTCTGGTTTTCAGGAGATTTGGAGTTGTGTATTTAAAGACTTSGTGCAAATGCTGGTTGTTAATATTGTAAGGCAAGGTTAGACTGCTGCATGTGCAGGTTTTCCTGTCACAGAAGGGACATATGAATACAGAGAAGTGTAAAAATGCTCATTTTTGTATGGGCAACATAACCTGATTGCTACCTTCTCTGTGGTAATGTACATARTTCCTTAAGGAATGAATATTTCTCCCTCTTTTTAATATTCTGGAAGATGTATTTTATCATTGCTATTACAGGTTGTATAAACCCACTGTGATAAAGCAGGTTTTTTTTTAATGGAACAGCAAAATGATTTGGAGTAGATGTCTAGGGCCACTTTAGTTTGAGGTGATGTAAGGAGTGTGCCATGCAGCGTAGAAGTCACTGAATAGGAATTGGTTGCTGGTCAGATATTAGGAGGAGGCAAACAACTCAYAATTTGAGGATTAGGATACATGAATTCCTGTATTAACCCATGTGGAAAACACTGCATCAACATTTAACTATGCTGTTGTTCTAGCCAGTCATAAGACCAAATCCTCTTGTTCCTGTGCTTCTCTGTCTCTGCTTGCTGACATATCTAACGGAGCGAAGAAGAACTCCACATGGATTCAGATTTAGGAAGAGTTTTCTATACTTATATGAAAATTAAAAAGCATTCTTATTCTTTTAAATTAAAATTAGATTTTGAAGTAACTCACTTGACTATGAGGAGTTTTTGCTCTGGTCTTTTGTTGATAAAGGGTTTGATTCTAGTGTGTTATTTACATTTTATAAAGCTGATAATTAAACATCACACATTCTTTATTAGTCCTGTAGATGAAAATGTAAATTATACCCCATTTACTGTTCTCTTAATGCCTATTAAAATGACTGTGCATTTTTTAAATACCTCCAGACATTAATTGTTCAAAACACGATTCTTAAAATAAAAGATTTGCTTATTTATCTGGAAGTGGTTTCTTTTTCTTTATTTTGATTCTTAATGTACCACCAGGGGGCAATAATTCATTTCCTAAATCTGATCTTTTCGCCTCAAAACCTGCCAGCATACTGAATTCACTAACATTTTTGAATACCTGTATGTGAAAGTCAAAACACAATTTTCTTAAAAATGCTTCTCGAATTACTTGTATGATTTAATATTTTACCCTGCATTAGTTAGGCTTGTAGGCTTTACTTTTATTTTGAGCAGCTGAAATTAGACTGCTTTGTAAAAGTTTTTACTGGTGAGCCTCATGCAGCACTGAAATGGTGAAAGGTTTGGATTTCATACAGTATGGGATTTTTTTTGTGGTTTTTATATTGCCTTTGTAATATTCAAAAATTTGTTTTAATAACATTTTTCCCATTCTCTTACTTTTTGTTACACTAATATCCTATTAATATTTACTAACCTATATGTGTGATCCTGAATTTAGAAATATATCCCCTAACAGGTACCTTTATATCCTTATATTGTTGGGGCTTTTTTTCTTTATGTACATAGTGGTTACAACATTTTGCAGTTAAAGCCAAGGCTGCCTCTGTAAATCTCTACAATGCTGTATCAAATGCAATCTTTCCTTTCATAATAATAATCTTGTAACTAGATAATACATTAGGTGCACATATATTGCTGAAGAGATGAACCAGAGGAAATATCTTTCTACAAAAGTGCCAAAGTACAAAACCATAAAAGGCAGCAATAGCTGTAAATATCTATTTGAATTACATGGGATTATAGAGTTATCCATATTTTTGTAAATTAGTATGTCAGTCTGTATAAGCTTTCAAGCCTCCCTAAGGTCCTCACCACTGCGTAAGGATTAGGTGTAAAGATACAAATTTTTATGCTGTAAAATGTAATAACTTAAACCTGTTTCCAGCAACAGTAGAATCTTTCTTGATGTGCTCATCTTAATCTACCTGAAAGAAAATTCTTCTTTTTATACATGGCAAATAGTCATCCTTTAATCTAAGAGGGCAGATGTCTTATTTATTCACTTCGTTGTGTGAGTATGAGGAAGATTGAGTCAGTTAATCAGATCAGAGCAGCACAGTGYTAAACAATTCTTTTCTGTCATGTCTTGAATGACACTTAAAAGTCATGGTTGTGGTATCACATTCGAGACATAAGGTTTAGCTCCTGCTTCTACCTGTAATTCAGAAGAGGAATTACACAGATGGGAAAAGGACCCTCAAGGTGACATTAGGGTTGTGTAAATAGCAAGTGYTTGCTGGTATTTTATTGAAAAGGTTCAGTGAATATTGTGTTCTTAGGAAAGTTTGGAAATGTGGCAGCTAGCCAACTGCCATCATCTGACAGAGCCTGAGGGTTTCCAGGCAAAGGTCTTTATAGAGCCTGCTGGAAGTTTTCATCCATGCTAAGGAGTTTATCAACAGAAGATTCCTCTTGCAAAAGGGCATTATATTTTTTGTTTGCATCTTTTCAATGGCAGAGGASGTGCAAAATTCCCTGACGATTTGTCAGCTTTAAATGTATGGAAAAATTGAAGTATGTCCTCATCATGTGGTTATCTTTATATCTTGAGTTTTAAAGTGKCTTTGAAGTAGATTTTTTTGTTGGTTTTGGTGTGTTTTTCAATTCAAAATTTAAATAAAATTTATTATTTTATCTTACAACGTGAAAAGCCATTGTATAGCACGTACTTGAAATTACAGTAGCTTGCTGTTATGCTGATATTTATGATTTAGCACATTCACTGATTGTGGGATTGTCTCTAGATGCATAAAAGTCATTCCAGCCTATCAAGGAAATGGGTTGACCACTGCCATCCTTTMCTCCAGTTTCTCACTCTAATAGCTGTGAGAACTTGAAATGGGTAAGAAATGTTGGGGAACCTGTTTGTGCTAAGGGAAGGTGGAGGAGAAAGAGATTCTGGGAAAGTGGGTTACCTGCCACTGAGAGACAAACTGTAGGCTGGAAAAACAGAAATCATTGGAAAAGCTTAGGACTTGTTTCCATTTTTGAGGCATCTGCATTCCTCCATGCTGTGCTAGTCCAGTCCCAGTGCTTCCATGTTTTACCATCAGGGAGTAACACCCTGATGGTAAATGAACAAGATTAAATCATCTTTCCAGCAAGAAACAAGATGGTTATGAACAAGATTAAATCATCTTTCCAGCAAGATTAGATCACCTCCCGCCCCAGAGGATTTAAGAGGATTTCTGCCTCTCTTCATAT